GAGGTGACCATGGTTCACGCAACCTCCTGCAGTGTGGCATCCCCCTCCATCATCCTCTGCACTCCTGGATCCAGGCTCCAGGTGACTGCAGAGGAGCAGAAGGTCTCGAGTGCTCGTGGACTGCAAATAGGGGTTAGGAGTGCACGAAAGCAATTCTGCGGATAAACGGAGCGCTATCCCGATGGCTTTCCAAGGGGGATAAGGTTCCTTGTATTTACATTGCTTTGAATTGTGAGGGTAAGAGCATGCATATAGATAAATGCTTACAGCAGAGTAGTCAACATGCTGTAAATTTATAACTACCACCTCCTAACCTGTTAGTACAGGGTGCATCACGTCTCCTCGGCTTGAATTGGCCTCTATTCACTTCTGCTTGTGTTCAGCATCTCTGCTGCCATCAGAGAGGGTGATGATGGATGAGTTGATGATAGCAGCTTCTGCTATCCGGCAGCCCCAGAGCCCCCAGGGGCTGCTGAGCTAACCACAAGTCTTTGGGCTGTTGGAAATTTGGAAGCAGACGTCGAGTCTGTTGGCTCATGGAAGAATACCTTGAAAGGCAGGACTTAAATGGTGTGATCTGTTTAAATGGCACTTAAAAGAGAAAACTGGTGTGGCCTTAACCGTTGCCTGAGCATGCCTTGAAACAGGGCCGTCTGGGGGAAATACGTGACTCTTGGTGACGGAGACTGCTGCAGCCTTTCCATCCATGCTGGAATCTGAGGAGATTCCTCAACTTCTCCTGCAAGCTCCGGAAGAAGCTGGCAATGCCTAGAAATTGCTGACACGCCGCTGGCGAAAGACTCTGGCTGGAAACTGCACACTGGCCCGTGGGGTTGTTGTGATCTCTGTGGCAGCTTGGTTTTCGTGGGTGGGAGAGGAGGATGCTTGCTGATTTTTTTTTGCAGTGGCGTCAGGTTGCCCAGGCTCAGTGGGGCTCGGTGGGCTTGCTGGGGAGGGCAGGGAGCTCTGGAAGTGGCTTCAGCACCGTCCTCCGAGCTGCCAGGTGGGGTGTGATGGACATGTGTTCATGGTGAATCAACCTGGAGTGATTGCGGCGAGGATGCTCTCCAAAAGAGCGTTCAGGAGTACCGATATGGGGGGGGAAATTATGTCATTACGTTGCTGTTATCTTCTGTTTGCTGCTTTGGGGAGCAGCGTACCAATGTGCAGAGGCTCCCCTTGTTTGTTAGGTGTGTGTACACTGTGTGTTCATCCATGCATTACCTATGTGGATGCATTTATATGTGTACATGCCAAATAGAGGTGCACATTAATTACATTAATTAAACTGAAATTTCCTTTTTGATTAATTGAACTGAAGTTTCCCCAATGGCACCATCTGTTCTCCATCAGGTTGCTTGTACCTCATCCTCTCCCGTCTCAGGAATATGTGCCTGGAGAATGAGGAAGGAAAATCAAGGATGTTGCTAGGGGGAACATGTCAATTTTTTTCAATGGAGAAAGCAGACATATTTCAGATTGAATTAATGCAGAACTGGACTGATTAAAGCAAAAAATGGTAGGGACATGACTAGTCAGGAGTTAGATACAGTCAGTTAGATACAGTCAGTGCTATTCGCCATTTTTATGGCATGAATCGAGCAATTTGTCTCACAACTGTCAAACTGATGAGCATGTAATTGTCACACTGTTGTCTCCATTCACTTCTGGCTGCTTGCGTCCATTTGCTTTTGTGAGCTTGTTAGTGCAGAGGCCGGACCGCAAAGTGCCCACCGGGCTGCGAGCAGCCGGCATTACTAACACGGACTAGGTGGGATCTTCCCAAACTGATGCTTTTCTGTGGCACCAAGCGATGCTTGGGGCGGTTCCTGCTTGCTGCGGGGTAGGTGCTGCATTTCTCTCTGAAGCAGGCCTGCAGGCAGATGGTCGGCAGGTATTTGGGCGCACTGAATTGCTTAACTAAGTGTGAGGGGTCCTCTGCTCAGGGGGCGTTGGGGTTTGAACCGGCATGCCACCTCTGAACCGCCGTGGGGCTGCCTTTTGGCATGGTTGCTTGTGAGTTATTTGGACCTGCATGATATCCTTTACTCCTCAAATCTTCTCATCCTTTTTTCCTTTCACTTAACCTCCGGCAGCCTCAATTTTTCTCTATCGCAGAAAACTTTGTGCTTGCGTTGGGTGGTACCTAGTAGCCACGGTTTTGGCTTTGGGTTTTGACCTGCAGGTGCACATGAGGGGTGCTTGTTTGCAGGGTGCTGAGGCCGTTGCTGGGGCTTTCCCGAGGCCACTGTTGCTCCCCTGCTCAGTGTCACCCTGCCTGGGTTAGGCACCGAAGCAGAAGCAGGTCCTGCAGCCCCTGGGCGCTGCGCTGCACCCCCTTCCCTGGCGCGTTTGCACCCCTGAGGGGTTTATTTTCTTCCACCCCAGGTAATGCAGCATTTCACCGAACAAGAAAGGGCCTGGATTTGATCTGAGCTGCAGCTTGTCCCGTGGCAAGTCCTTTGGGCCCATTTCAGAAGAAAGTTTAAGAGAAAATAGCTGGGTCAAACAAGGGGGACCTGTGCAGAGGTGCTGCTGACCTGAGAGCTTTGTGCAGCTCCCATCAGGAGTTGTGTAGGGGCTCTCCCCCAACCTCCTGGGCTTCCTTTAGAGAAATTTTATCATGGAGGCTGCAGAAAAACACGTTGCAGCAGTTACCGTTTCTTGCCACCGTGCAAACGGACAGGCTTGCACATGCACAGGCGCCCTGCCCCAAAAAAGCTCCCAGCAGGTCCCACTCGGGTGTGCTCCTCACCCCACGTGCCAGCGCTGTCTCACCCTCGGTGTGCAGATGCTGCTTTCCTGTACACCCCTTGCTGGGATGATGAACATCGGCATAAACAGTACCATACCCAGAGCCATCTCTTGTGGTGTTACGAGCTCGACTGCTAAAGAATAGCAGCTGGGGGAGGAAGCCACCATCCTCCTCTCCCCAGGCTGCCCGCCCCTCCTGGCTTTTGTTCTGCTACTCCAGAAAATTAAGCCCTAATTCAAAGCCCTTTGAAGTCCGAGTCTTTCCGTTCACATCAAGAGGCTTTGGAGCAGACCCCGGGGAGGATTGGAAACACCTGATAAAGGCTGCAGTTTCACGAGCAGCCCTAAATATCGTCGTATTTGGATACATCTTTCCAGTGTTAATTCCTGGGGAATAACTAAAGGTTCCCGGCTGCACTCATGGTGCTGTTTGTGTTGCTTTTTGCACAACTAGAGTGTCCTTTCTAATAGGTGGCCAGCAGAAATGAGCTGGCAGAGGTGCTCACCTGGAGCCGTGGTCCAGGCACCGAGAGAGCAGGAGAGCATCTCCCTGCGGGTGCGGATCAGCCCGGGAGAGTGCCTGGATCCCACCGGCTTTTCACTGACTTTAGGTCAAACCACATCCGAGATAAACTTTTCTCCAAGGCTGCCCTGAACGTGCTGCTCTGAAAGGCTGGGCATTGTTTTCGGTTTTGTGAGGGATTCTGTTTTTTATTTTGTCATGCTGGAGATGATTTAAGTAGTCCCAGTCCTCCTTTCTGGAAGTTCATCTGTTTACATGACGCATTCCAAGAAATTCATGTTTGCATCCATCCAATGTGCCGTCTCCTTGGCTGGACCCCGCTGCTGGATGCTGGAATGCAAATCTTGCATTTTTCAAATAGCATTGGGACCTCGTAGTGAGAAAATGCAGCAGAGAGCTTCCGTCTGCGTCCCTGAGCCCCACGGCCGAGGCTGTCCTCGGGAGACCCCTGGAGCACCCTGCGGGGTGCGAAGATGAGATCTGTCGCATGACCTCTCCCTCCTTGATGTCTTCCCCATCCTCTGCCATGCTGGAGCATCAGCAAAAAGTAGGGTTTATTCAGCCCTGCTCCAGTTTTTGGCTGCACAGCTGAAGGAGGGGCTGGAGTGGCTGTGAGCATCTTCTCTGCATTATTTCATGTCATTTTAGTCCATCAGCCCCGGAGCAGAAGACGGTTGTCTCTATTGTTATACTGCAGAAATAAGTAGGAATTGGCTGTTGAAGATTCAATAAGTTTTGGGCATGTGACTCGCTCCCTTTGGCCCTTTTGGGAAAAAAAAGAAATTAAAAAAAAAAGCTTTCTAACAAATGGGCTCTTTGCAAAAGGCTGCATTGTACGGCCGGTTGTTCCCGAGCGCCGCCCCGCACAAGGCTGCATTGTGCACCACGCGTGGGGCTCGCAGTGGGGGCTGGAGCTCTGGGGATGGGCGCTGGGAGACTCCCTGCCATGGCAGCCCATCCTCCGGGAGCCAGCGGCTGTCTGCGGCAGGCACGGGCTGCCTTTTGACCACCTCCCGTGCAGGCTCTCCCACCTCCCTTATTCTCCCCCAGGACAACCTGCCCACGTCAAACCGCTCTGGCTGTGCTCCGCCTCAGCGACCGCTTGCTGTGGTCACTTTTTTTTCCATGTGATGGTGTCATGCCAATGCCTGCAGTGCAGAGGTGTGAGGGAGGGGAGACACGCAGTGCTTGTGTGCGGACGTGCGGTGTCTCGCCCGGGGAAGAGGGTGCAGGTCCCTGGAGCCACCCAGCCCCATTCTCCAGTTTCACATCTTGACTTGGCTCACTGGGTTGATGGGTTTGTCCTGCTTCCCACGGTGCCACCTCCTTGTCCTCTCTTCTCTCTTTTGCAAAGCTCTTTCAAGGCGATGCACATGCAAAAAATAACTTCTCCTTTTTCCCTGGAAGAGATGGGAATCTGCTGTCCAGGCAGCAAACCAAACACTTTGCCTTGCTTTCACAGGGCTGGGAGCAAGCGCTGCTGCTGTGGCTGGGGTGAAAACCCAGGCTTAGCTTTCTGCTGCAGTGGTCTGTGGGCAAATTCAATTTTCAAAACCTCCCAGGATTTCTTTTTTGGTAGATCCCTTTGACAGGCTCAAGGCTCAGTGCAGGCTGCTTTTGAGTACAGCCACCACAAATGATACCAGCTTCTCCTTGTCATCTCCTGTTTGCTACAGATAGCAGCACGTCAAAACAAAGCTCCTGCTGTGGGATTGATGTCTCTTCCTCCCCTTCCCTTTTGTCCGTTCTTCACCCCCCAGGAGTTCGGCAGTACGAAGTCCATCACGTCGCGGTGTGACTTCCTGCAGAACCTGATTGCAAATGGTTGTGCCGGAGCCATCGAAAACCCCAGCAGCAGCATCAACGTGGTGAAGAACGTCCCTCTGAGCAGCAAGGGCTCCGGCCAGACCCACCTGGATGTCACGCAGATCACGCCTCAGAAGGTCGCCTTGAATCTTCGTCCTGGTGAGTCCCCAACGGCTCTGAGTCGTATGCTGGTGTGTTCTTGTTGGGGGTGAGAAAGGGTGGAGGGGACATGCCAAGACCGTGTTATAGCCCGTGACCCTGTAGCCTGCTAAAGAAGGTGGCTGCTGGCCCCTTCCAGAGCCCGTGAATTTCGGTGGTGCATCACGAACAGGTTTGGGGCTGAGGTGTATGTTCTCTATGAGAGGACACTGCTGTTATGCAAGGTCAATCAAATCCCACCCAAAACTGTTGTCAGTACTGGTTTTAACCTTTACGTGTTTAAAAGGAACCTTCTCAACTTAAAAAATGTAATCACTGGATGGAAGGAGTTAACTTTGGATCCTTCACCAAGCTGACAGTGCTTGACTCTAAACTGAGACAGCTCCTTCTATAAATTGGAAACAAAAACGCATATCTGTTTTCTGTCGGTATGCAAAAGAGACGTGGGATCAAGGCCGAAGATGGAGATTTGAACTTGCGACACAGGCCTTGGACTGTGGCCAGATCCCTGTTTCATTCCCCTGAGCCATCACTCTTCTTCAGTCTTTTCCTTTTAATTAAAAATTAGAAGGGAAGGGCTAGGCTGAGCCATGCGAGTATGCTTGTTATCAAAAGTTTTTGCATGGTGGGGGGAGGCTTTAATGTGGGTTCAGAATTCTTGCAAAAATTTGGCAGCTGATATTTCTGAAGGGGGAAAAAAAAAGCTCTTTATTGCAAAGTTAAGAGGCAAATATAAAAGCTTGATTCATTAGAAGCAATTGGTGTGGGTTTCTAAGGCTTACAGTTTTGTGACAACTCTCATGAGCGTACAGAAAAATGAAATACGAGGTTTTGCCCAAGAAAAACAGGAGTTTGAGCTGGTGCTCACGCTACCAGTGCCCTCCCAGAGCCTACCAGTTGCTGCAGGATTTTTTGTTTTAATTCTATGGGTTGGATAGTCTTCATGTCTCTTAATTAACTCTTCCCGAGCAGTGTGACTGCTGTCATCGGTCAGACTCTCAAAGGTAAAGAGATTTTGCTTTAAAGCCTTGAAAGCAGATACCTGAGGGTAGTTGTCACTGGATGCGTGGCTAGGTGCATGGCTTCTGCAACTGAATGTTGCTGATGAAACAGGTTTGCTCCCATAAAAAAAGGGAGTTGTTATTCCTCCTGTTTCTTGAGGCAATTCCTGGCGGAAAGGGCTGGCTCAGCTTCGACATCTCGCCTCCCACAGACCCTCCTTCACGCCCAGTGCCTGGCGCTCAGCAAATTTCCCTTTCCCAATCCCTGTCAGTATTGCCCAGCTGGAGGCGCGGATGCCCACCGCTCCAGTCTGCGGCAGGGCATGGGGGTCTGTCTCCCTGCGGCTTCCCGGGGTCCGTGCTGTCGGATGCTTTTGGGCCAGGGAGCTCCCCTCCCTGCGCGCCTGTTGCAGAGCATCGGAGTCATTGCAGGACGAGGGACGTACCTAGGTGTTTTTAGTAGTATCTCCCCTTTTTGCTCTCTTTTTGGTGTTGGGCAGCACTCCATCTTACTCAGGGCTGATGACTTCCTAAACCCATGTATTAGCATCCCCAGTTTAAATTATCCATTAATCCTTGAGCTTGAGAATGGGTCCTGAGGGTTTCACCCTGTGAACCCAAGACAAAAAGGAGACAACGCTGACTTCATTTTGGGCATGAAGAGTGTACTATTTCAAAGATGAATTCACATGGTGATGGTGATCTTTTATACTTAGACCGCTAAGCAGAAGCAGAAGGGAGCGAATTGTCAATTGTTCACTGATCCCACCCAGGCAGTTTGATCTAAACATCCCGTGGCAGAAGTCACATCCCCAAATCTCTGTGCCCACAGCTAATTTCCAAAGGCCTTAAACCGATGTCTTTACAGGGTAGCTTTCAGCTCGAGCATTTAGTTTTTATAATACTGCTTTTTAATCTTGGGTCCAGCTGTAAAGCAGCGTGTCCTGGTTAGATGAAAAATATGAATAGTGTAAAAGGAATTAAAAACAATGAGTTGTTGCAAGCTGTGTTGCCCATCAAGCCATAAGCCTCACCAAGCAGAAAGAAGAGCTTTTTGTGGATAAGTGATTGTCCAGTTTGCGTTCTTAAGTTGGCCAAAAGTTTTTCCAGTTTCTGCACTGCCTTGGTGTGACAGCATCCAAGAAACATTTCTGAATTCAGTTCTGAGTTTAAAGCTTTTTAGTAAAAGCCCTAGGGAGAGGATGGTGGTGATGGTACGTGAGGAAGGAGGGCGCTGGATTGTCACTAGTAGTGTGAGAGTAATATCGTGCACAGAGTATAAATTCTTTTGCACTTATATCTGCATACATTAGCGATATTTTCTCTGAGATAATCGATTTGTGCAGTTAGGAATGACAGAAGAACCCGGCCTTGGCTCCTGTTATTTTTGGTGCTTCTCAGGGACTAATAAATTCATAACTATTAAGAGAAGAATGTTTCATTAGAGCATCCCGAATACCCTTTCTGGCAGAAGAATTCCCATCTTAGGACCTGCTTGGCAAGAAGAGTGTTTTGGAAACAGAAATGTTGGGAAACGCAAAAGCACACATCCTCTTTTTCTGAAAGGGTTGGATATTCCAGTGGGAAAAATAGGTAGGAATGAAAAAAATAGGCATGGGAATTAATTTTGCCGGAGTTAAATACATTCTTGCAGCACTGAATTAAAGTCAAGCTTGCAATTACCGTTTCTGACCGTGCAATCAGTGCTAACAGGTATTGCACTATATAAAGGGGTACGCTCCTTTGTTCCCCCCCAAAATGTGTGCCAGGTGCAGCGTCAGGCCCGCCTGATTTGGTTGAGCCACCTCGATCGCTTTGCTTACTGTGGGCCCTGTGCTTAGTTGCGTCCTGCTGCATGCCACATCTCAGTGCTGTGCTGGGAAAGTCCTGCTCCTGCCAGAAAAGAAAGCTGGGGAGAATAAGGAGGAATATTTATGGCAAGAGTTTCCTGCTTCCTGCAGCCGGTATCTGGGCCATACCTACGTGTGCACGCTTGTGGACGGTGCCTCTCGCAGCCCTGCCTTTGCCAGGTGGGGTTGTAGAGACTGCAGGGGGGAGCAATCACCTGTAAGAACGAAGCCCTGGCTTGGAAGGCATCCTTGATCTAAATGTGCAGGGAAATCACTAAATAGAGGGAAGGTCTTGGTTTAGGAGCTGTAGCTGACTCCTCTGGTACCCCAGCACCAGGCTGGCTGACATGCACAGAGAACCAGGGGAGCAAAGAGGGCAGACCCAGATCTAAACCCTTCACAGCTTTGTTTGCAAAAGAGGCAGGCTCTGACCTTCATGCACATCCCCCTGGGTGCTGGGACCCCGGCTCCTTTGCCGAGGGGGTGATGCTGCTGGGCCAAAGCAGCTGCAGAGTGCTGGGAGAGGGTGTCCGCTCGCTCCCCGCACGCAGGGGTGGCTGCTGGAATCACTACGAAGCAGATCCTGGAGCCAGGGAGGTGTTTGGCCCTGTGTGCAGCTCAGCGCAGCGTGACCCCAGGTGCCGCCCGGGGCTGCTGCCTGCCAGGCTGCAAAGCCCCTCGTACCATGTCTTGCCAGTGGTTTTGGGATGCTGCTGCTGCGTGTTGTTGGGCTGGAAGTAAGTGAAAGCAGCTGTGCTGCTCCGGACAATAAGGAGAACAGTAAAATGGTTAGGGAAATGTTTTCACAATACTAAAAAATGTGCGTTTCATTTCTGGGGAAGAGGAGGAGAAGCCATGAGCGTTTTGCAGAACCTGCCAGTGCCCAAAGTTCAGCCTCGGCCGTGAAGAACTGGGAGAGGTGGGCAGGAGGGGGAGCTTGATCTTGAGAGGATCCGAGTCCCTGGGTCTGAGACCCCACTGAGCTGGAAAAGGGGCCGAGGTGGCAGCTGGGGACGTGGGATCTCCAAACCAGCCTGGGGTTTGAGGGTGCTGGAGTCTGGGGTTTCCATTTAGACCCCTTTTTCAGCAAAGCATAAGGCAAACATTTGCCACCTCCTCCCTGGCTTCACCAAGGTCCGTCTGGCATGAAGTTGAGTTCACTTTGAAGCCACTTCACCTTTTTTGAGGTGTGGGCCGTGCCAGTGGTGGCCTCCCCTCCCGGGCACCCCTTCTGGAGGGCATTTCTGGTGAAAGCGGTTTGGCAAAGGGCCAAATCAGGGGAAAGGCTTTCCTCTGCTCTTCTTCACATTTGCACAACCTGTGACTCAGCCCTGTCAGCTCCTTCCCCTGTGTTCATCATTTCAGGAAGCTTCATCTCTGCCTCGGTACTTCCCTGGGTGACCCTAACAGCCTTCTTTTTCCAGTTCACTTCCCTTTTGCCCTGCTTTCTCCAGAATGATGGTGGCACAGCTCTTTTTTGGGGGAGATGTCCTTTTCAAAGGTGTTTCTTCTGTGTCTGCTTCGACTTGACTCCCCTGCACAGCTCAGAGGACCTCTTGCATTCATCTCACGCTGGCTGTTTTCTCCTGACCCTCTTCCTTCTGCTCCACCTCCTTCTCTCTTTTGTGCAGGACTTGTTGGACTGCTCCTGGTTTGCTTTGGGGACATACCCAAGTAAGCGTGTGCAGGGTCCCTCTTTCAGTAGTCCATGAAACATCCATTTAAGGTTCACTCTGCTTGCTTTTCTTTCCAGTTTTCTAAGAAAATGCCCCTGGACTGTACACAGTCTGGGACAGCAGCATTTTTCATGTTCATTCTCTCAGCTGAGATGGAAAGACCCTTTCCCATATCTCCAAAGTAAAATAGAGACATGCACTCTATAGATGTGGTTTTTTCTTGCCAGCCAGTACGCTACATAGCTTAAAAGGACCCAAAGTCATTAACTGCTTTCCTATTAGTCTCCTAAGGGATGGATTTGGAAAAGCTTATTCCCCTCACCCTCTTCTTTGGAAGTGATCTGTCTGCTCTGCAGCGGGGAAAAAAAAAGCGTGCGGTCTGGATTTTATGTGTGCTAGGAGTTTCCTTTTCACCACTCTCAATTCTTGTGTGTGCGCAGGTGACCGGACCTCCTTCCGAGTTCAGGTTCGGCAAGTGGAGGACTATCCCGTGGACCTCTACTACCTGATGGATCTCTCCCTGTCCATGAACGACGACCTAGATAATATTCGCAATCTGGGGACGAAGCTGGCTGAAGAGATGCGAAAGCTCACTAGCAATTTCCGGCTGGGGTTTGGATCTTTCGTGGACAAAAACATTTCTCCTTTCTCCTACACGGCACCAAGATACCAAAACAATCCCTGCATTGGGTAAGTGGAACAACCGAAGGGACAAGCCCTGTGTTTGCACAGAGCCTGGCTGCAGTCTTCTCTTCCCATTCTTGTTTTAAATAATGAACCACACTTAAGCCCTGGCTTTTGGGAATGTTAATTAGCCGCAGCTGTCACTGGGATGCTCCAGAGCGATTCAAAATAGGACAACTTCCGATTTTGCAGTGGCTGTTGGGAGATCTCTGCGTCTAGAGATGGGAAACTGTTATCTTGGGAGCCTGAAGCTATTTTTAAGCACCTGAAGAGGATGCAGACACAGCAGGCTTTTTTACAGACTTTAGGAAAAAGGAGCAAGAGCCAGAAATTCCTGATTTCTGATCCTAGCTCTGAGTCATTGTTTGGCCTCGAGTAGATCAATTAAGCATTTTGTCTCCATTTTACAGATAAGGAGACCGAGGCAATGCAAGCCCTTCCCAACAGAAGTGTTTGGGTGAAGTGAGATTTGTGAGGGCCTGTAGGACTGATTAATGAGTTCTTGCAAAGTGTTTTGCAGATGTCAGGCAGGTTTTTTCATCTTAATTGCTGTGGAAGGAAAGCAGACTGGCAGTTGCGAAAGACACAAATGATGTGGTTTGCTTTGCAGTGATATCAGAGTCTTCCTCCGTGTTTTTTTTTTTATTGCTAGAGTCTTTTTGTTTGCCCTTTAACCGCCAGAGTCGGGATCAAGTCCATTGAATCAGGGATTATGCCAGAGTGAAATTGAGTATAGTGGACGGTGTCCAGGCTCAGATGGGTTTGGATGTTGGCATGAAAGGATGGATACAGCAGGAAGTGCCCTCCTGGGAGAATGTCACCACTGACACTTAACTTCATGGTGCTGTCTTCACCTCATCCATCCTTGGGGTGCTTCCTAGTCATGTAAGGGCAGTAAGGTTAGCACTTGTGTTTGAGCCATTCGTGGACACTTACATTGTAATATCACAGCACAGACGGATGCCAAGCTCTGCAAGCATGCATCCTTTAAGTTTTCCATATGAGAGGCAGATTAAAGAGAACTTGCATCAGCTATGAGTTTCTAGGCCAACTTTTGGTGTTGACGAAGCATTTGGCATCTCATTGCACATTGACCATTGACCACACAAAATGATCTGTATTCTCTTTTCACCAGTTCTGTCCAAAGAGAAAAGTCAAATAGATTTTAACACTAAAAACTCACGCTTTGGCCATGAAGCATAGCCAGAACTGACCACTTTGACTAAGCCAGGGAGGTGGCTCTCTGCTGCCACGGCACCATACATTACACTCTTCATAGCTCTTCTCCCCCCAAAATTTGGCATGGCCTCAAGACGGATGTGCTTAGTCATCTCTGTCATCCTCAGTCTCCATCACCCGCTCATGTTGCTCACGGGCTGGGGACAGGGTTTCGCTCCAGCAGGGGAAATCTCGGAAACTTTGTTTGACTGGTGTGTGATTTAATTGAAGTGACATGGCTTTTACCAAGTGAAATAGGGTGAAAGGTGCAGGAGGGGAGGGCAGGGATGGGAGAGGAGGAGAAGGTGGAGCTGGACGACTCTGCAGCAAGGCATGCCTGAAACTGCTGATGCCCTTTCATCGAGGGCATCAGGAGCTGTCGCCTCGTCTTCTTCCTCCATGATCAGGCTATCTACATGTCCTTTTGGTTTTACCAAGGTGGTTGCTTTTCTGTTTATGGGTTACATTAAGCCAGCCTGGTCTTGGGAAATTAGGAAGGATTGCCCAAGGCAGTTTGTCTGGTGGACGCTCCCTTCCAGTCACCATCTGTCTCTTCATCCAAACCAGGGGTGCTGGCTCGTTGTTCTCCAGCGGCATCGCCTTCCCCTGCCTGCTCTGCGAGCAGGCTGTCGCTGCTGCCAGGTGGCTCGTGATGTGGCAGTGAGGTGGGTTGTGAAGTCTGGTTTTGTTTGGAGCTATTTCTAGTGTCAAAGCAGACTTTGTCCAGTGGCTTGCTCGCATCTAAACAAAGATGCAAGTAAACATGAACTGCGGTGGGTGGTTTTTTGCCCCTGGTCCAGGCTCTCTCCTCCTCCTCCTCCTCATGGCAATGGCTGTCCGGGTGGAGTGCGGCTGTGTTTTCATGTGGGGTCTGGCTGAGAACCCTCGTGCCTCCTCCATCCCACCTCAGCTCGCTGCTCACCCCTGCTCCTGGCTCAGCATCCCAGTTGGGATCTCGTGGGGAGCCAGGACATGGCCTCTTCGCAGCCACGGTGTCATTCAAGAGAGATAATACAAAGGAAACAAACACTGAATTTAAAAAGATAAGGAAGGCAGAGGGTTTGCCTTGATTTGCCTTGATTGCCTGATTGCCCATCTATCTGCGATAGACTTGTGCAGGTCACAGCCTGAGATAACCCACCCTCTCTGCTGTGTGCCTTGCGTAGTCACTCAGCTATCCGTCCTCAGTCCTGCTGCTGCCTGCAACTTCTGCCAGCAAACCTGGAGTGTAAAACAAACAAAAAAGCATTAAACTATACATCTTAGTGGGATGTGGGACCCTATAGTGTGTCAGTGTTTTCTTCCTGGACCAGGGCAAACCGAGCACCCAGATGTACTGTATGACTTGAGGGCTGCTTGCTGAGACCCTGCGGTGCGGAGGTTTCAGACATCGCACGCTCCTCGCCTTGGTCCTGGGCGCGAGCGGGATGCAAGTCTGAACATGGGGCTGATCACAAGGGGCGGCTCTAATTGCCAGCCGGGCCCAAAGCAGTGGGACCTGCCCCGTGGCTGGGTGCATGCGTGGCTGTGCAGGTGGAAATCCCTGCTCTGGAGTCCCTTGTGAGGGATTTGAGTTCCCAGGCGTGGTAAATCTTAAACACTCCTTTGTGTAAAAAGCCTCTTACAGCTTACCCATAGTGGGTCATGTGTCAGCAGAGGCCTTTAATTGTTCTCCAGGTTTTTGTCTTTGAAGATGAGAATGAATTAGTGCCAGCCCAACTCCTTTTTAAACACATTTTCTTCTTAACCCTTCTTGTCCCTCTCCCCTGCACACCCTCACTGATTTCCCACGCTGCAGGAGCTGCTCTGCTGAGCTCTCCCGGCCACGCGGTGAGCACCAAAGCTGCCTCCTGACTGCTTTGTACGGAAAAAGAAGTTTTTCTGGTAGGCTGCCGAGGCATTTCTCTGCCTTAGGGTGCCACTCCTACCTTTCTGCTCCAGTGGCGCTCTGGAAAGCGGAGATGGTGTTTGCTCACTGGCTTGCAGGGAGAGCGGGAGGATGCATGAATTGGTGTTAGTTATTAATGCATCTCGTGGTGTGCAATTGCCAGGTGCCTGGTGACGTGCAGTGGGTGCAGGGTGGCATGTATTGCCAAGAAAACTGGATGACAGAATGAAAATACATGTTGAAAAATAGGGGAAAAGTAGCTGTCAGCAGTGACTCTCCTGCATGGTGCCCTTTGACACCAACCCACCATTGTGAGCTGCTGGGGAGGGTGACTCTGGCCTTCCTGCCAAAATGTGCCCTCTGCATCACTGCGGGTCACATCCTGCACTGCAGACTTCCAGTGTGAAAACCATTTTATGGGTGCAGAAACTCCAGAGCTGCATGGCCTGGTGCTTGGTGTCTCCACTCGGACCTTACGTAGAGAGAGACGTTTGATCCTGGTGAGATCTCTGTAAACTTCAGCTGCTCAAAGCCCCTGGGGGGGGACCAAAAAGATGGGCTCTACTGTAGAGTTTTGTAGATAAATAGCCAGAAATCAAAGCATCCAAAACATGAAGCCTTGTGGAAGTATTTCATCCCGCTGAACAGAGGTTTGGAAGCCAGTCTCATAGAGCTGGGAGCTTCTGCAGCTCTTCGCTGCTGGTGGGGTTCCTTCTAGCTGACCACTCCTCTGTTCCTCCTGCAGTTACAAGCTGTTCCCCAGCTGCGTCCCATCCTTTGGCTTCCGCCACCTCTTGTCCCTAACGGATAAAGTCGACCGTTTCAATGAAGAAGTTCAGAAACAGAAGGTTTCCCGCAATCGAGATGCTCCAGAGGGTGGTTTCGATGCGATTTTGCAGGCTGCCGTGTGCAAGGTGAGTCGCTCTGATTTCTGGGGTTTAAATGCAAAGCAAAAGAGGAGGAGGTTTCTTCTGCTCTGTTCTTGGACCAGGGTAAGGCTTCAGTATGCCATTTCTCAGAACTACTAAATTTTTCTTGCAGAAACCATAAAAGATGCCTGCAAAAGTAGAGGCTATTGTTTTTGTGTGCTTTTGTACAGGAACAGGCAAAGAAAAAAAGGTTAATACCTTTTCTAGTTTAAAGGGGTAAAAATGGAGCTTTTGCAAATGCAAATTTAGGTCTGAGATTTCATTGCACGATCAGACTTCTAGGTGCTGATCCCTGAGCACCTGGGATGAAATCCTTTAATATTCATGTACACTTTTGTGTAGCAGCACTGTGCGTTGGCTTAATGCGTTTCTTAAGTGTGTGTCAAACACATCTTGCAGCAGTTGACCCGTGTTGAGGGTTGGAGCTGGTTGCTACTGCTCGTACCTGCCCCCTTTGGCGTGTAGGGCTGGATGATCCCACCTCCAGGCGCTGATAGCCTGCTCTCCCTCTTTGTCAGCAAAACTGGAGCTGTGAGCAGCAATTAAAGACAGAATTTATTAGCTTGGTGCCATGTTAGCCACGTCCTTCGGGGTTTTGGAGTTGTTTGCTTGAAGATCTTTCTGGAACAAGTAAGTGGGTTGCTCCGTAGCCCTTTGTGTGTCAGGGATGGAAGTGTTTGCTCCCCTCTGCGATGCGGCTGAGCTGCCCAGCTTGCCAGGGACGGCTCCGGTTGCTTATTCCCCTCTTGTCATACAGTTTAGTTTTCGTTTGCTCCAGCCTTGTGTAGCCCTTTTGGGTGGGCGTGTTTTCTTCTGGGTCTCAATTTTGGGAGCCAGGAGATAGGCATCGTCTGCAGGGGTGATGGGACGCAGGCTTGTGGGAAACCAGATCTTCCCTTGCCTGGGTTGGCTTCATTTACGCTTCATGCCTGTGATAGGACTGAACCTGCCCCTGTTGGATCTGATGCCACCCAACAGTCGTCTTCCCTCTCCCAGCCTGGCACAGATATTGTTGTTGGCACAACTACAGTGCTGCTCCCAATACTCGTCTTCTCAGTTTTGGAGAGGTGGCTCTCATGGTTAGAACAGAGACATCTCAGGACAGTGTCTCAGTTGTGCCACCCACCGTGTGTTTTTTCCAGTCCCTTCCACCACATTATTGCAAAAATGGGACAACGTTTCCCTTCGGTGCATACTGTGGTGTGTATCACAAGGAGGTGTTGCTGGAAGGCAGGAGACCTGCAAGATATTTCCTGCACGTTTGTGGCAGTCTCAAACTGTTGGTAAGAACCAAAATCTTTGACTCTGGTTCTTGAGTGCGCAGCCTGGTCCCTTCTAAATTCAGAAGATGAATTTAGATGCTGGTGCCATCTAAATTCAGGACTAAGCATCCTCTAGGAAGGGTGAGCAGAGGTGAGCGTGTGCGCTTGCGTGGCTCTTGGCATGATGTGGCAGGTCATGACAGAGGAATTTCTGCAGCCGCGGTGGTTAGTTACCGGAGCTCGGGGGTGGGAAAGAAAATCCATGGGACCGGTGTGTGAGGCAGGAGAACCGGCTGCACTGCAACTTGCGCTGCCTTGGCAGCCCCTTGCTGTGGGTGGAGCAGCTGCCTGCTGATCGCAGGCATGAGCAGCAAAGGCTCCGCCCGTCCAGAGTTAGAATAGCCAAAATTTCGGGCCAGCTGATTGACCTCCTAAGCCCTGTAGCCAAAACAGGAGCTTAGTGACTAGTTTCCCTCACGGTGGCCGAGTGATGGCCCAGACTGGTCGGTGGCCGCAGGTTGTGGAGGGCCTCAGCACCGTCGAGGCGGGTGAAGGTGGCAGACACCTGAGGTGGCAGTGAATGCCACTTCCTGGTGAGGATGCTCTTTGCTGCAATGAATGGTGCTTTGCATCCAGTGGTGATTAATGAAGTATCGTGGGGACTGAACCCTGCACAACCAGTACTTTTTGGTAACTCAGGAGCTGTTTTCCCTGGTGCAGGGCAAGGAGCATACAGATACCTTGGTGCCTTCTGGGGTGGGTTTCCTCATCACTGCTGTGGTACCCCATTGCATCTCTCTGGCATGCTCCCGCTTTTTCCAGCTTCCATCCCCTCTACCATATTCAAAACCCAAGATTTAAGACAGTTATGAACTTAGAAAGTCCCCTGCCTTCGGGGCAATGCAGCGTGTTGACTGTGAAGTACTTTGTGCTCAGCAGCAGAGCTTGTGGCATCAGTGGGGGCATCCCAGGGAGAGCCGGTGGTGGCATGGCAGAGCCTCACTGTTTCCAAGCCATGGTGTCCAAGTGTGGTCTTCTCCTCCACTTCAAGCACTGAGGTGTCAGAAACAATACCTACTCTGTTGACTAGGTATTTTTATACTATAATTCATATCAAGCATTTCTTCCGCATGAGCTGTCTAAGAGCTTTGTAACGCTCAAGTCATTTTTTGGCCTGGTTTTCAACCCAAGGAGTGGGGGAAGTTTGTACAGCTAATACAGACTAATGAGCAGGCCCAGGGTTTGGCTCCTTTCTGAAAGATGAAGATATGGTAAATGTTATTCTGGAGGCAATGAAAGAGCCAGAGACAATAAGCCTTTATCCTGATGCTAAAATGGTTAGCCAGGAATATTAATCAACCTTCTGTAATTACATTTTCCATTTGCAGTGTTTTGGTTTTCTGCCATTCTTTAAGTGCAAGCATCATATGGCGTGGTGGTATGTCTAAGTTTCAGATCTTATATACTAAGATGCAGCAAGGAGATAATGCTGGATTAGAAAATAAAGTGTCTTTTGAAATAGTTTTGATTGGTGCTTGCTAGACACTGGTACATGGAGATGGCCAAGACATCTGGGAGACACTGAGGCACCTTTCAGAGCTACACAAAACGAAGGAGGTTTTGGCTTTTAATCTCTAAGGCATACTTGTCTTGCACCTGTATCTGTTTCTTGCTTCCAAAAAGGTCTGCACCTGAGAAACTGGTGGGGTTTTAGATGTATTGATGAATCCAGGGGGGATCTCCTGGCAGTTGATGTCTTGGCAATTGAACCCTTTTTATTCAGTGCCCAAAGCATAAATTTAGATATTTATTTTGGGCTTGGAAATACTGATGCAGGGTTTTGCAGCCTTTTCAATAGGATTTGGAGGGTTGGGCTGTGCTGAGACAGCTGTGGCAGTTTTGCAGTCGCTGTTGGCTGTAAGGAGTGCGAAGCTGGCCTTTCAGGGTACGGGAGGCAACTGCAGCTGGTCGTAGGAGTAGGGGCAGGATCCATGGTGTGCCCAGCCCTGCGGAGACACGTCTTCCCTCTTCACTCTGCTTTGGGTCAGGTCCCACCCCTGCTTTCAAAATCCTTTAGATCCCATGAGGATCAAAAACCAGATGAGGGGGTAGACGTCAGTGCAGGTTTTTGTGTTCAACGATCCCAGTCCAGTAAAAATAAATGAAAGTCTCTTTGGTTATTTGTTTTAAACGGAGCAGAGTGCTGCTCTGGGTTTTGCGGTGGAAACTGCGTGCTGAAGAGCTGTATTTTCCAGCGCTTGCAAGCTGCTGGCAGAGGCAGTGTGAGATGCGGCAGCTCCTCGGCGTGCCGGCCCCTCCGGGTGCTTTTTCCATAGGTCTCCAGCTCTTTCGGTTTGGCATAGGCACTGGCTCGGCCACCCCATCTGAGACACCCTGGTCCGATGCTCCAAGGCATCGAATGCTCTCAGTGTCTGGATATTGGCACCAACACTGTGGGCGCTTGTTGCTTTTTGGAAGTGAGTTCCCGGACTGAGCAACCAAAGCATTTCTGATGTTGTTTATGTGGGAAAGTGTGTGTCGGAGATGCGGAGAGTTTGTCTGTAAAAGGATGCTTAGCCCGTGATTTAAAGGTGGGCTTAGCAGGCAGGTGAACAGAAGCATGATCCCTGAAGTGGCTTCATAACTGCTGCTTGAATGCAGCTCGTTTTTTTGTGCGTACCACATTTCTAAGGAAATGAAACTCAAATTAATCCTTTTAATCTCTTCAGGAGTTTCTTGCCTTAATTGTTTAAAAAGAAAAGAAATCAGCTTTGGATACACAAAGGAAAATGAACTGGATGGGCTTCTGTCTGGTGGCTGAGTAGACCAACAACTGCTTCTTGCATTATTAGAGCCGTAATCACTTTTGGGTTAAGTTCTTAAGAAATTACATGTTGGCATGAAGATTTTTCCTTTTGTCCAGTGGGGTCACTTGAGTGGAATGACTCTTGCTTCCCAGAGCAAAAAAGTCCTCACTGCATACTGAGCTGGACTGTAATGTGCTGGTATGTGGCAAAGGATGTGTATTGCTAAATATTTCTTCCTATGGCCTTACTTGCGTTGCATGGGTCTTTAAAATACCATTAAAGAAAAAATACCTTCTGCAATAGGGAGGAAAAAGAAATCTACTCTGGACTAGTGTCCCTGAAGCAAGAGTTATATTTATCGGAAAGATCAGCAGGCTTTGGGCTATGACTCACATTTGCAGGCGAAAATTGCACTGGCAGCCATGATTCCACATCCTTCTCCCTGCTCTGCCCTCTTGCCCTGCCCACGCCAGCACTTTCCATAGGAAGTGTCTTTGCAGCCGGGCTGCGGCAGCTCGTGGGCTAGCATCTTACTGTAGAAAAAGGTAGATGTCAGGTGTTGCTAAATAAGCTGAGCAGTAAGCTCTGGAGGAATTGGGTATATTCGTCTGCACTGCGTTCCCATTAGTAAGCTTTTACCAGCTTTTCCCTCATCCCTTTCCAAGGGATTTACGCTGTTGCTCTGAGCCGGGGGCTGGAGGGAGGGGAGTGCTGGATGTGTGTGGGGAGGGAAGGCATGGGCCTGCATATTTGCCTTTGCAGGGTGGCCAGCCCAAGGGGAAGCTCTGGGAGATGGGGCTTTCTCGTTCCGGTCTCTGCCATGGCAGGATCTCCCTGCCGTGGTTGGCAGGCGGGACTTCAGCCTGCCCGGCTTGGCATGAGCTGGCAGTGGGAGCAGCCAGCGAGCGCAGGGGAGTGTGCTGCAACACTATGGTTTCCAAAAATTTCCTTTGGGCTTCTCTGTTTCCTTCCACTTCCATTGCAACAAACTGCTTCGGTGTGCTGTTGTAGGCACAGATCTGCTTCTTGGGCCGATGCAAAGCCGGAAACCTGGGGAAGCTCCGTGGGAGGGAAACGTTTATCATCTAAATCTTATCCCTTTATTTGAAAAAAATCTGTCCCTGCACCTCTCTCCATGGAAAGACAGTGATAATGTCTGGTCCTTGCACAGAGGGACCAAGGAAGGCTCAGAGGACACTTCTTGTGCTGTGCTTGACATCTCAGTGCTTTCATAGGGACCACTAGAGCATGGCTTGGAATTGGCATGTTTTTAAATATGCAGAAGTTGCTCACAGCAGAGCTGTGCGGGGCAGCTGTGTGTGGATTAGTGCAGGCAACCACTGCCAAAGCTCCCACTGCCGCGCTCTGCTCCAGCTGTGTGCGTCCCTGCTCTTCTGGGCTGTGGTGCAGGGGGACTGAGCTGTTCAGGGCACGTGTAGTGGTGCACAGTGAAATGGCAGGAGGCTTGGAGGCACCATCGCTTCCAGAAGATGTGTGCAGAAGGGGACCAGGGCAGAGTGCCTGTGCACGCATACGCATGCATGTGGGTGCACCAAAGCCACCCCCCCTCGGGCAGGGACCTCACTTCGTGCATCACAGCTCAGAAGCAGCCTTTATGAGCGGGCGGTAATGAAAATGCTGAGCGGGGATATTGCAGCTCTTGCTGTTGCCTTGGCCGCTTCGCGGAGCTGAGGAAACAAGGTCAGATTAAATGTGTGTGGAAGAATTTGGCAGGTCTCCTTTGGCTATAAAAGCAGCTGAAATTCTTATTCTTGGATCTGGGTAGAGAAGGTCTGGTGGACAATCCACATACCTCCTCATGCCTTTTTAAGTAAGTGTGTTGGAAGGAGATGTTGGGAAATGCTAGATGGGCCCCTGATATTTTGTTTTCTTGCCAGGGATGGGTGGACAGGAGCATGGCACTCTTCTAATTAGTGCTAACGGGTCTGCTGCTGGATGGGTGTGTGGCTGGGACCATGTGCAGGGCGAGGGGCGAAGCGTGGGCTTGACAGGGGCAGACCGGCTGTCTCACGGGGTTTGTTTTCCCCCAGGAGAAGATCGGCTGGCGTAAGGAGGCATCTCACCTGCTGGTCTTCACGACGGATGACGTGCCCCACATAGCCCTGGATGGGAAGCTGGGGGGGCTGGTGCAGCCCCACGACGGCCAGTGCCACCTGAACGAAGCCAATGAGTACAGCGCGTCCAGCCAGCTGGTGAGTGGGGAACATGGGGGGCCAGCCCTTGGAGACTTCGGGGTGTTGGTGGACCTCTCTGGAGATCAGCCACCCCCGACTCCAGCAGCTTTTGGCAAATGCAGCCACTGACCAGCACGGTTTTAGCCGGTCCTGCAGTTTGCGAATAAAATTTGCCATTCCCCTTGGGCATCCCACCACAGTGAATGCTTCCGTGATGCTCAAAAACAGGTTAGGAGCTTAGCAGATTTCTTCAGGGCTTGCAAGGGAGGGAAAAGTAACTTGGTGTCCTGAAGAGCAACAGATTTCCTGCAAACTGTAGAGAAAACATCAAATATGTCATCCCTTTCTAAAACGTCCAGTGGATTGTCAGCTTCTCCCTGGGGAGGCTGAGCCCACCTTGATGTGGTTACAATAGCAAGCACAACAGGATGCTCCTCTTATTCACAGCCTTTGAGCTCGACACTAACATAGGTCTTAGTAATAAATAGGCAAACTGGCCATTTTAATTTAAATTCAGTGGAGGAAACTCCTGGGGTGAATGAGTACTTGCCTGCCACCTAATTATCACATCCTTCTGCAGAAGGGTACTTTATTCAGCAGATCACAAGCACTACTTACGATTTTTGTTCCTACACAGGTGTCACCCTGTAAGAGGAGGTGTTTCTGGATGGCTGCATTATGGCCAGAGGCTAGGATCCTCAGAGAAACCCTCTTTCCACCCCCCAGTGCAATCCTAGCAAGTGTATATGTAAGGGAGTACAGCCCTTGTACTGATGTGGAGTTATGCTGGGTAGCTGGCGTGGGGATGCTGCCTTGGTGATTCCATGTTTGAATCTTGGAGGCTCTCAGTCAGCCCTCCAGTCTGCAAGTAAACGAGGTGTTTTTAAATGAGGACAGCACTTCTCAGAAGAAGCCTGGGGTTTTAAACTCAAGCTAGTCTCCTGAAAGTGAGCCCTGGTTCATTATTTTGCTGCTTGTGGGTAGCTAGAGTGATATCTTTCTGCCATCCTCTCTGTCTGGGAAGTCTGCAGAATTAAAGAGCTTATCATAATCTCTTTATGGTTCCAGTATGGAGAAAGAGCAGGCAATGGGTGTTTCTGCTTTGGGTGAAAAATCATACATTTCCATTTACTGCAGTTCTAAACCTCCCTGCCTTGCATCCCTGGAGATAGCAGCCAGCTTGTTACACACGTGTGTCTGCTGATGGCAAAGCAGAAGGAAAGGAATCCAGTGTTTCAGGTGTTGCTGCAGCTAATGGTGTTGTCAGTCATATATTCTAGTGAAAGGTGCAGCAGAAATACTTAAGGGATGACAGAATTTCTACTATTTCAGTTGGGATTGTGCTGGTACAGCAGGGACTTCATCCTGCAACGAAACATGCCATGTGTGTGGAAAGAATTTTGCTGTTGGGAGGAGAAGAGCAATGAAATTAGTCTTTGTTTCTGTGTTACCCATCAGTCTTTCTGCCCTTTTGGTGCCCCTAGGATTATCCTTCCCTGGCGCTTCTTGGGGAGAAACTGGCTGAAAACAACATCCACCTGATTTTTGCTGTTACAAAAAGTCATTACGTCCTGTACAAGGTAAGCACCGCCGAGCCGCCTGGGGAGGGGAGATTTAAATGCTTTGTGGAAACATCTTCCTGCTGGCACCGTGGAGCGGAGGCAGCCACAAGCGTGCTGGGCCCAGCCATAAGCGCTCATGCACGTGGCCATGCGCTGCCCACAGGGCTGGCAGGGGCAGGCAGATGCAGGCAGGCGAGGCTCAGCCCGCTGTCCGTCCCTACTAGTCCTTTCAGTGAAAAGCACTAAAGCTTCTTAGAGCAAACAGATATGTATGTTAGTGAGCATGTGAAGACCTAAAATAGACTCCAGCTTAATCTGGCCCAGCCATAAGCGCTCATGCACGTGGCCATGCGCTGCCCACAGGGCTGGCAGGGGCAGGCAGATGCAGGCAGGCGAGGCTCAGCCCGCTGTCCGTCCCTACTAGTCCTTTCAGTGAAAAGCACTAAAGCTTCTTAGAGCAAACAGATATGTATGTTAGTGAGCATGTGAAGACCTAAAATAGACTCCAGCTTAATCTTGATGTTCGGATGGCTGCCAGCCGTGCAGCATGCGAGAGAGCAGGAACCTGTTCAACCCATTCTGCAGTGACTTAATCCCATTACCTAATCACACGCAGTGTTTCTGCCCAGCTGTGTTTTTCCATCACGGAGTCCAGGGCCCCGACACACCACATACAATTTGAACTCCCTCAGAAGGAAAAGGTGACCCAAGCCGCAAGGGCCGGCCTGTGTCTGGAGCTGCCCCGCAGGGTTTTGCTACTCTGCGGATGTGGGGAGGTGTTTCAGGCGAGGTTGCTTTCGGAAACCTCTGCTCCGGCTCTCAAGGCTCGAGTGAAAACAACAAGCAGCCGCGTTGCTACGGTCGAGATGCTGCTGCTCGCCTGTGGAGAGCCGGAGGGCTGAGCTCATTCTCCACCCCCTCTCCGGGGATGCTCGCGGGTTGTGAGGCGAGACGGGGCAGCCGCACCTCCTTCCCCACGGTGCCGGCTCTCCCGAGTGCATTGCCCCCTGCGGCAGCAGACCCGGGTCCGTTAGTCCCCGTCCTGTGGCCATGAGCTTTGTTTAGCGTTTGACGTGCTGCATTAGCAATGTTTTGCTTTCAAAAGCTCCACGTTAACGGGAGCCGTGTACACCACCGGACGATGGGGCAGGGTGTGTGGCTGGTGTCCCTGGCGTGGGGTCAGTCTCTCCTCTCCCTCTGCTTTCCTCTCTGCATCTCAGCATTTTCTTTTCATTTTCTTTTTTTTCCAAGAACTTTACCGCCTTGATTCCTGGGACAACAGTGGAGATTTTGCACAAAGACTCCAAGAATATCATTGAGCTGATCGTCAAGGCCTACAACGTAAGTGCATTTTAATACCGCAGCTGCTGTCGTGCAAAGTGCCAAGAGCTCGGCCGGCTCGCCTCTCCCCAGTGTGCTCCACCCGGCTTGGCTGCCTCCCTCCCTGGTCCTCCACATGCTGCCGGAGCTGAGGCATCCACCCTGGAGAGGGAAACAAGGTGTGTGAAGTGGAGAAGGAGCACGGGGATATCCAAGGGAGCCTGCAGCGAAGCAGAGATTGCACCCCACGTCTCTCGTGTGCAGAATTACCCTCAAAATACAGCCCCGATCTAAAACAATTGTCTTTCAGAGCACCCCACCGGTAGGTAAAATAGATCATTTCTTTGCTATCTGATGTTCAGAGGCCTCCCAAGGACGTGACCAGGCTCCAGCTAAGGTCGCATCCTTGCGTTAATCTCCGTGCAGCACAAGTCAGTCGTCAGCACGTCATGAGCATCACCGTGTCTCTTGGGTCCCAAAGGAGCCCTGCCTGTGTGGCGTTCGCAGTGCGGCCTGCCCTGCCGCAGTGGGGCCCATGAAGGACAGCAAAGGACCTGCAGTTGTACTGTTGACCTATGTTGTCCATCTCCATGGAGATCAGGGGAGCAGATCAACTAGAAGTAGCTAAATTGCACGTTCATTGGGTAGTTAGTTGTCAACATCTCTGTTGACTTCTCCCTGAATTCTTATGGCTCTGCTCTTTGTTTTCCTGGAAGGATATTGCTGTTTTGGTGCTGGGCATGGAGATCTGACCCTGTAATGGGTCAGCCTTCAGGTAGGGTTCTTCATGCATGGGACCTGTGGACACAGCTTTCGATGGCTGCAAGCTCTTTTTCTTGGTACTATGCTCATTAGTGCAAGGGAGTAAAGAAGGACTTCTTTGGAGAAGTTTACACATCCAGAGGTCATGTAGGATTGTGCTGTGCACATGACCTGTAACATTCATCTTTCCTTCCCCCACAGCTCCCTGCAGTTAAAGCAGCATTTGGTTATGCCCTTGGGAAGAGTGCTTCCCAAAGCTTCACCCTCTGAGGAAAGGCAATGAGCAGCTAATGCTGCTAATGAGGCTCTGGAGATACTACAAAATAAAAGCCCAGTTGTCCCAGTTTGTCCCCTTGAGGAAGGAGGATCTTGTGGCTAAGATGCTTGCCTGGGGAGAAAGAAATGAACGTTCACTCCACATTGACTTTGCCTGTGGTCTCAGCGCCATCACATGAAAACCTCCCTTTGCCTCGGTTTCCCAGCTGTAACATGCATCCATGCCTCCATTTCACCACCCCTCAAGCCTGTGCAGGTAGATACAAGCTGATGAAAACCATTGAGGATCTGATGCCTCCAGTCCTGCTCCCTCCTCTTTGCTTGTGAGCTTTCCAGTGCAGCTGGCTGGAAACTGCCAGGATGCTGAGACCAAGGTGCCCCATGGAAGGAGCAGTGTGGGATGAACTGTTGCTGAGACTGGGGCTGGTTTTTTTGCCTGTTGAGCTGGGTGGTGGGTGTGGGCTGGGACCCCCGGGCATGCTGCCGGGAGCTGGCAGCTCCTGCCTGTGCTGCGGGCAGCCTGGGGCCGTGGGAAACCTGGCATCCGCCCAGCCCGTCTCCTCTCGCTAGCTTTGTTTTTTCCTGAAATGAAAGAGGAAATTCTCACTGAGGGAGAAGGCTAAAACTTCTGTTTCCCAGGTGGGAGTGAATAGCTTTTTTTATTCCTCCTGGAAAGTAAACTCTGAGCCTGGAGAAACCCTTCATCTACAACAGGGACCATCTTCTCCTGTGGGGTGGCAGTGGCCTGGGCCAGGCTCAGCCTCTCCCCTTCAGTGCTTTGGCCGTCTCTGGTCCTCTCTTGTCTGCTTCCCTCCACCAATGCGTACATCAGACTTGCTCAGGGCTTACATTACCCTGAGATCCCGTTCCCCCATCTCTTCATCTTCTCTCTCCCTTTTTCTTCTGCCCGGTGTGCTGTCACCCCTCCCTCATCTGGAGGGGCATGAAACGAGAGAACAGGAACAGGTCTTTTTTCTCTGTCCTCACTAAGAAAAAAAACCTTTTCCCCTGATCTCAACACGCCTGGAGAGGCTCCTGGGGGGCTGTGCCCGGGCTGGCGCGGCCCTGGCGGGTCTCTGCCTGGGCACACAGGCTGGGTTTGGGCCGAAGGGAGCAAACGGGATGCTGGTTTAAAAACCACTTTCCTAAACCTAATCCAGGCAGGTCTCGGATGTGTTTCTCATTACACCACTGATGGGTTTCCCGTGGCAGGCAGCGGGCGGCCTTCACAACAGCCATCCCTGGATCTGCTGCCGGTTCAGGATTTCCTTGTTTTTACGCTGAAACGATCCATCCTTTGTATTTCTCCGGGGCTGTAGCAGACAGCTTTATTTCAGGCAGAGACATTGCTCCATCTCAGGACCAAGTCCTTCCTCTAGGTCTCTCCAGCATACTCTGCTCATCCCTGAAGGTGCAGAAGGCTTGGGGGCCACCATAGAACACAGCAGCAAAATCCCGCAGTCGTCCTTAGTGGCGGCTGCGGTGCTGTGAGAAGGTATCGCTGTGTAACGGTGCAAAGTGGCTAATAATAATAGCATTACAATTAAGCTAATAGCATTGCTATATAGGGCTAACAAGAAATCTTGCACCTGTATAAGAACATAGGAAGAGCCCACGCAAGGTCATAGTGAGGTCTTCCGCCGTGCCCCAGATGAGATCCTCTGGGCAGGAAGATGGGAGAGCGTAGCAGTGTGACAGCTAATTTCTGTGGGATAATTTTGGGCAGAGCAGCATGTTCAGCTTTACTGGCTGGTGTTCATCCCGCAGGCGATGGATGCTCCGTATGGTCCAAATTGCCACCCCATGAACGGCTCCTCCGTTACAGCAGAGGGACGGGAAATTATTCTTTTTTTTCCTCAAGAGCTGTTTAGATTCGTCTGGCCAAAACTTACTTATTTATTTCCTGCCCGTTTCCAAAAGTATTAGCTCTTCGCTGGCGTGTAAACCCTGGTTTTGTTATCACATGGACTTGCAAAAGGTCTGAATTAGCACTTTTCCTTAATCTGGCCACTTCGGTGAGGGTTGGGGACAAGGGGGAGAGGGATGGAGCTGCAAGCTGGCTTTGGAAAATAAATGTCTTTGTACAAAAAACTCCGTTTTGAAAACCTTTGTCTTCTTTGGACACCACTTGTAAAAAAATCAGTTCCAGCCATTGGAAGAATGAAACAAAACAACATCATTCCGAATTAATACTTATGAACTTCATTTTGTTTTGACTTTAAAAGTCTGTGTGTGCAGCAGGGCAGAGAGATGAGAAGCAGAAGAAAGGGGGTAGGAGCATACCAAAACTCGCTGATGGAAAATGTTTTTCACTTTGAAAAGTTTCACAAAGAAAGAGATTTTTCATTTATTTTTTCCCATGGTGGTGTTTCCAGCTGATGCATCTGAAAGGGTACTTTTTGTTTGGCATTTTCTCTGAAGAGGGAAATACATTTTTCTGACCAGTTGGGTGAAAACAAGAAAGCAGGACAGAGTTAGTGCAGCTTTACACCTTCTCTGTGCAGTACGACGGACTGCCAGTGGAGAGTCAGGCTTTGCGCCTCGCTAAGGGGCTGGTTTATGGGGAGGAGGAGGTGCAGGTGTACACACGAGGCTCTGACCTTTGGCTCAGAGATGCTCCATTTGTGGTCGAGAATGTTTTCTTCCTTCTTTTTTCTTGTGCATCCATATCTTTTCAGTGCTGGCTACAGTGGTCATCACGTCTGTCCTAGAGGGCATAAGCCACTCGCAGGGGTTGTAGGCAGCTCCCCGTGACTCAAGTTACATCCATCAGAAGTATTCTGACCTGGTTAAGTCAAACCCAAATGTCAATGTGTGTGCACGGGTGATTTTTTTTCATATAGGTGCAGAGATGTCCTAGCTGCCCTCTGGAAACATCAGAAGAAGAGAAACATCAGGAAACATAAAGCAGAAGAAACCCACCTGCCTTTGGGAACCTGACGGTTTACTTTCCCATTGTATTTCTAGAGTATTCGGTCCAAGGTGGAGCTCACAGTCTGGGACAGCCCTGAGGACATTGGCTTGACCTTCACTGCCACATGCCAGGATGGGTTGTCCTATCCTGGGCTCAGGAAGTGCGGGGATCTCAAAATAGGAGATACGGTGAGTCTGCCATTCAGTCCGTCCCCTGGAGAGGCTGTTTCACCCCCCGTGCAGCTGCTTACCTCTCTCAATGAGTGGTCCCGGGCAATAAAATACAGCTTTGCTCATCTTCTTCTGCTCTCCTCACACCGTGTCATGTTAATATGGAAACCCAGTGAGAGCAGCTCTGCTAAAAGTGGCTCTGGGTGGTGTAGATCAGCCCAAGGTCAGCTGTGAAGAAAGAGGGAATAGACAAGGCATTTTGTCTACAGCACTCTGAGCCAAAAGGTCTTGATCAGGCAGCAGGATGTGATAGTCAAGAATGGGCTTTTTTTTCCTTTAATTCCAGATATTCATGTCAGGCTCTCACCTGTGACATTTTTATTGCTGTGGTCTGCTGGTCTTTTCCTGGTCCGGTATATATTCAAGGTTTTCTTGTTATTGTTTGAGAATCCTGGCTTGTGTTAGCATCCTAGCCTGTATCAGAAATATTGTGGCCAGCAGGAGTAGGGAGGTAGTTGTGCCCCTGTACTCAGCACTGGTGAGGCCGCACCTCGAACACTGTGTTCAGTTTTGGGCCCCTCACTACAAGAAGGACATTGAGGTGCTGGAGCGTGTCCAGAGAAGGGCAACGAAGCTGGTAAAGGGTCTGGAGCACAAGTCTTATGAGGAGCGGCTGAGGGAACTGGGGCTGTTTAGCCTGGAGAAGAGGAGGCTGAGGGGAGACCTCACCGTGCTCTACAACTACCTGAAAGGAGGTTGTAGCAAAGGTGTTGGTCTCTTCTCCCAAGTAACTAGTGATAGGATGAGAGGAAATGTCCTCAAGTTGCGCCAGGGGCAGTGTACATTGGGTATTAGTAAAAATTTCTTCATCGGAAGGGTTATCAAGCCTTGGAACAGGCTGCCCAGGGAAGTGGCTGAGTCACCATGCCTGGAGGGATTTGAAAGACGTGTAGATGTGGCGCTTAGGGACATGGTTTAGTGGTGGACTTGGCAGTGTTAGGTTAACGGTTGGACACGATGATCTCAAGAGTCTTTTCCAAGCTAAACGATTCTATGATTCTAATCTAAACCTGTCTTTCCCGGAGTAAAGAGGTCATGGTTAACTTTGGAGCTATTGCAAAAAAAGACAGGGTGCTCAGAAAGGCGGTGACCCTCCTCTCCTGTGTTCAGTTCCTAGGGTTATTGGATGGCAGCACAGACTAAAAATATAGTTTGCCCCTTAATGTTAACAGTATACATGGCATAATCCATCCTGTGCTTTTTAATAAAAAAACAGAGAAGCTAATCTTTGCTTGTTAAAATTCAATACTGAGTTAAATAAATGAGTTGCTGAGCTGCAGGGTTGGGGCAGGAGGACTCAGACCAGCGGGGAACCCCCTCCCCTTCTCCAGGCTTTTGCTGTCTGCGAGGACGCGGGTGCGGGTTCGTTAGCAGCCTGATTGCCTTATTTGAGAAGAGTGGCTCTGCAAACATACCAGAGCTCTAAGCGCTGAGGCATATAAAAATAGTTTGAAAGAGTCAACAGTAGCTAGACTTTTACCCTGCCAAATAAGGATCATGTGAAGTGTTAAAAAGGGAGGTGGCCTCAGCTTTTTTAGCTGAATTTACTGGATCTCCACTCAGCGGGTAAAATCCCTGGAGCATTGCCACGCTAGGCACGTGCCCTCCTTGTTCCCACAGCAAAGCCTGAGCCCCCGAGGTAGCAGAGTTAATCTGGTGGTTGATCCTGGGCTCCCGGCTTTGGCACGAGCAGGGGGGTCGCTCCAGCCGCTGCAGCTCGTGCTGTAAAGGGGTCTGGCAGCAGGTACGTGCGTGCCCGTATCCACAGTGGCTGATGGCGTGAGCGGGAATGACTGGCTCTCCCGATCCGGATGAATTGAGGGTACCTTCTGCCCAGGCAGCAGAAGATTTGGGGTGCAGCAGGGAGCCGGCACTGGTACCTCTCCCATTTTTGGTGCACCGGAGTATTGAGGTGCCTGCACGGGCAGACATGCCACAGGAGCACAGGGGTCCCATCCCTCCTTCCCCTCTTGTTCAGCTGCTCTTGGCCCCATTACTTCCACGTAAGTGAAGATTTGATTCCTGGTAAGAAAGTTTCCCCAAAGAGGATAATGCTGGCACTGGATCCTAATCTGCCGGGTTTAGTTCTGGAGGCGGGGGTGTCAGCGAGCGAAAGGGAGCAGGATTACCCTGATCCCCTTAGCTTGCTTTCTGATCTCCTTCTCCTCTGTAATTTGAGCTTGTTGCCTAATTGCTTCAGGCCTTGGGAATGGGAGGGGGTCAAGGCAGGCTTCATGGAGTGCGGCTCTCCTGGCTGGAGGTGGCTGCTGCACCACCATCCGTCTGCATGTCACCTCTTGCCATGCGGGCAGTGAGAGCTCGAGGTGACCCCAAATGACTCCAGAGAAAAATCATTCCCTCCTGATGTCTAGGAAAGGGGCTCGTTTCCTTGGGATAAGGTTAATCCTCTTTGCTGACCAGCAGCTCCAGGCAGTGCTGGCTGGCCTGAGACCCCCACCAAACAGCAGGATTAAATTGGGGCCAAGCAAGCGGCCATAGGACGGTCTTGGTTTTCCCAAGGAAAATATCCCTGATACTGGATTGTAGCAACAGAAAATGAGTAGGGGGGTGATGTATAACCATATAATGATGTATAACCCTTCTGAAGCCAGTCTTAACAGAAGCATCCATTATAAAATGGCCCGTTAGCAGCGTGCTGAAAGCTTGGGACTGTGTGACTGATGCACATCTCTATGTGCAGATCAGGATTCCCATAAAACCTTCTAAATCCATGATCTTGTAGGCACCTTGGGCCCTTGTGCTGCATTGGTTAAATCCTTGCTAGTGCTTGGTTTCAACAGAGTTTATTATTTTTAATAGTATGAAAACAGGGCTATTTGCTAGAGTTTAGCCCTGTTTATTTCACGGGAATAGGCAGGTTCCTTCCTGCTTCACAGAAACCAACGGTCCCTGATGGAGAAAATCACTGCTAATAGCTGACAGTAAAGAGTTTTAAAACTTTAAGGACGCCAAACCTCCCATGGGACTGGCAGATGTCGGTGCATTGAGCTGCGGACGCCCTTGCTAGACATGCAATTGTTTGGGGGGTTTTTTGCACACCTGGGAGTGGAGCTCAATGCCCTGAGCGTGGCCCTGCTCCAGGGAATCACTCCATGGCTTTTCTTTGGGACATTTGCCCTTCCCTCCTGCCTTCCTTGACGGATGTTTTGGGGTTGTGTGTGTTAACTTGCATCTCAACCTGCTCCCCCCCAGGTTTCCTTTGAGGTGGCTGTGGAGGCGCGGAGCTGTCCCGCCGAGGACATCTCCCACGCCTTCACCATCAAGCCCGCCGGCTTTCGGGACACGCTGGAGGTGGCGGTGACCTACAACTGCCTCTGCGGGTGCACCGGCCATGCTGCGCCGGCCAGCGGCAAGTGCAGCGGCAACGGGACCTATGCCTGCGGGCTGTGCGAGTGCGATGCCGGCTACCTGGGGGCCAAGTGCGAGTGCGAGGAAGGTGCCAGCGGGGACATGCACCACGCCATGTGCCGGGAGGCGGAGGGCAAACCCCTCTGCAGCGGGAGAGGGGAGTGCAGCTGCAACCAGTGCCTCTGCTACGAGAGTGAGTTCGGAAACATATACGGGCCCTTCTGCGAGTGCGACGACTTCTCCTGCGCCAGGTACAAGGGAGTCCTCTGCTCAGGTAGGAGCCTTTCCTCCCTTCTGCCCTCCGCTTTGAGGGGATGGAGAAACCGCCCCAAAATGGGGAAGGCTGCTGGGCTGGGGTGTGCAGGGTGTGCGAGGGGCTGTGCCTGCCCTGCCTGCCAAAATCTGCCCTGTTTCTGGAGGGATCTGTGCTCCCTTTCTTTTCTTTGTGGAAAAAGGGAGGCAGAGGTTTTAATTGCATTCACGCTAATGAGCAAAAAGTGCATTAACCTCATCAGAACTGAGTTTCTCTTTCCAGCATTAGAGTGAAAGGCTGTCTCCTGGCAGGCTTGTCCTCTGCCCGGGTCCCACGGAGATGAGCAGAGAGTCTTGGCTTTGGTGTTGTTATTTTGATGTAACCATGCACATCTCTTGCGCACTGAAGTATATCCCTAGGAAAGAGTAAATCAGCACAGGCTTGAATCCTCTGAAGCTTTTTGGTGTCTCCTTAGGTTGGATTCCTTCCCCGCGTAGGCAGAAACAATCTTTTTTTAAAGATGAAGCATTTGAAGTAATCCACTGGTGCAGCACAGGTGGAAGGAAAGGTTGTGTTTTAGTCTGTTACTTATTAGAGAAAATTTGTGTTGAAGATTCCTAAAGGTGTTTTACATACAGATTTTTCTGCCCACTGGGAAAACAAGTCGTTCACTGGGAAAGATGTAGCCAGGCAACTTTGCTTAAGCAAAGGTAGGGGAGTTATTTAGCTGTGTGTGCTAAAATGGCTTTAATTCCTTGTCAGCCTGAGGTCACATAATTTACCTTGCACGTAATTGCCTGGATTAGCCCTCGGACATAATTCCCTCAGTTGGAGCTGGGCAAAAGGTTATTCTTTAAAACTTGCCTGCTTTCAAGCAAGTAAAATATTTCCTTAACTGAAAATCTTGGGCAAAATTTCCAAAACAAGCATAAGCTTAGAAAAATAGCCATTTTTCACGTTTTCTCTGGGGAACTGGTGGGTTTTTCCCCACTGTTTATCTTGTACTGCATGTTTCTGAGCTGGGCAGTAAGTGATGGGGCACCTTTTGGTTGCAAGTTTCTGGCTGTTTGAGATGATCGTGTTGTTAGGCGAGTAGAGGATGTTCATGCTTATTTTCCTTTAGCCTGGCTAGTGATGTTTTGGCACTGCTGAAGATGGCGCAGGTGACACCCCGGGTTTTGGCATCGCCCTGGGGCTCCCCACTGCAGAGCAGTGAGAAAGGCCAGTACCACCTCCCACAGTGACTGTTCCGGACTGGGAGTGCTGGAGCTCTCCCTGCTGATGCAGGAGCAGAGAGAGGGGTGAGCAAAAGGTATATTTTAAGGTAGATGGGGGAAAAAATAAACTCAGCTGTGTTTATTGTTCTAATTAAAAGCTATACTGCCTGGGGGCTCTCCATATGACCATACTGCTTTGGTAGCATCATCCCACCCAAAAAGAATATATTTATTAGCAGGCAGAGCAGTGACGCTATAAAGAGAGGTTGTAAGTTACTGGTGTAGCGATTGGTACTGCAAGAGAAGGCTACCTCTTTGCTCAAACTTCCATTTCATCAGGAGAGCCAGAGCTCTGCCGCTCCGCAGGAAAACAAGCCGTGTGTCTTCTGTTGCACCTGCTTTCTTCTGTCCCTGTGGAGGGCTTCTGGTGCTGGGAAGAGCAGCATAGCTGGTCTGGGATTTGCCAGAGTTTTTTAAAGTCATTTTAAAGTCCTTTTTATAGCTATGGAAGAAAACAAAGGGTATGCTGAGGCCAAGTGGCCTCCTCTTTGCTCCAGGGGTGGGATGGACTCTGGCACGGCTGTGTGGGGTGGGGTGATTCTCCCTATGCCTCCTGGTATTTCCATTGCTGTTGTTTTGTTGGCTTTTTTTTTTTTTTTTTAAATTCCAGCAGTTACAATGCTAAATCTGAGCTGTAGCAAGCGCCGTGCCAATGACATAACATTTTGAGGTGGTTTTGTCAGCCCAAGAGGCTTGGGGCTTCTCCAGCCCACCAAAAGTGTCTGAGCTTGCACAGTGGGGCTATGCCCAAAGCTGCCCCTAACAAACAGTTACACAAGCATCTCTGGTGGCTTCCAGCAGACACGTGCTCTCTCCTCCCTACAAATGGGGCCTTCTTGAAAAAGGCTGTGTGTTTAACTTGGCACTGAATGTCTCAGTCCACCACCATATGTAGACTTGGCAGCCAGGGGAGTTTGGGTCACACCTTGTGTGCAGGATGTCCTCTAGGGCGGCCGCGCAGGGTCCGGTCGCTGCTTTTGTTCCTGCAAGGGGGGGAAATGACACCCTGCCCTCCCTCTGTCTTCTCCTGGGTACAATGTCTGTCCCTGAAAGGCTCTGGCATCCCGGTGCCCACCACTCTCGCAGGCTGAATCCCACCGCGAGGGGAGACCAACAGGTTTTAGCAAATGCAGAAACCAAAAAAGCAGCACGTAGGGAGCTGTCGTTTTTGCTGCAGATCATTGTTGTCTCCGTCCTTGTTTGGGAGTTGCTTGGCTTGGACCCATGAGGGAACTCATCACTGTTGTCAAGGGCTTTATTTATACTGTATGAATCTTCTTGTAGTGTGGAAGGCACTTAGTGCCTCTCAGTGCATTTCTGATGGCTGTATTTTGAACAGTGTTTTCATGCCAAAGGAACCCAACCTCAGTTTTAGCACATGGGTTGTGGTGCCCCCCCATTAAATGCATTTATGCCTGCCCAAGCTGTTGAACAAGTCAGTATCATGAACCTCTGAGTGCCCATCCTGGCCAGAGCAGGTGGGAGAGCAGCTAGTCCAACCCAACCCAAGGTCTGGGGGAGCATGAGGAGGAAAGCACATTTTTCCAAGCTGAGAAGTAAAAATCCACACATGCAAACTGCTTTGCATTACGTGGCCGTGCTTTTTGCATTCCTCAGCTCAGAGGCACTGTGAGCCCATCACCAACCAGCCTGGGCATTTCTTCCTTTTACTCTCCAGTGTCCCGGTTGAGTCACTGCCAGGACACAGGGCGGGTGGCAGATTGCGCTCAGACATCCCGTATTCCTGGCAAAAGCCACAGCAGGTTTGAAATACTCTGAAGTAAACTTCGAGCTTTTTGTTTCATGCTACTCAGTCCTTTGGCCAGCAAAAGCATTTTCATTCCTGGGTCCATTTATAAATATTGGCACCTCATTTTGTCAGGGTTTGAGAGGAGAGATGACTACAGACAGTAGTTGTATGGTCCTGTCCTTTCTTGGCCCCGCATGAAGTGGAGGAGCAGATTTTGGGTGGTAGATAATCTGAAGGAGAAGCAAGAATTTGATTCCTGTTAGTGGGAGGTTTAACGTGCCTCCTGCATCTGTGAGGCGTGCAGGAAAAGGAGTCATTTATAACATGTCGTAAATGTTGATTCAAGTTGCATCCAACTCTTAGTCGATGCCGCTTAGTCACTAATAAGTGGCATTTGTTGTGCTGCTCCCTGAGTCCAGTTAACAGCTCCAAAGTAGCTGTTTCAAACCATTAACCCAGCTTTTGGAAGGGCCATTGGGGATGGCTTGCAGAAGTGCTCTGTTCCTCCAAAAGAGATGCAAATGGATTATGCACAGCATCGTGCTCCGACAAAGCAGGCACTCGCTTCCCAAAGCCTTGAACGCTTCACTCCCCGTTTTTCTCCGCATGGAGAAGTTGCCTTCTTGCATCAAGACCTTTGGCACGCCGCTCTGGCCTCTACTCTGAAATGTGGGTGGCTAGGGGAGAGGGGAAGAGAGCCCCCCGGGCCTGCCGCCTGCCCCCCCC